GGGCCCGGGGCTGGGGGGGATGCTGGCCGGGCACCCAGTGAGGGCCGGCCCGCCGACCTGCGTCGCGGGAGAGCCCCTAATGCCTCTCCCAAGGAGCAGGTAGACCTAAAAAAAAGAAATAAATAAAAAAATCTGGGCAAACTGAAACCAGTAACTGCCTGCAAAGTAACACTAGGAGCTTCCCGGAGAAGGGACTTCAAGGCTGCAGGAGGATTTATTAGCCGGATCCACGACAAACAACGCTGACATAAGCTCAGCTCGGGGAGGTAAACATAGGGTAGATCAGGTTTCCGTAGGAGAAAAGCACGGGAGGCTTATGCCTCAGGGAAAAAAAAAACAAAACAACAAAACAACAGTATCGTAAGGCAGCAGGAACTATTTCCAGAAATTACAAATCCAGCGGCACCGACGCGTGACAGTAAAGATTTCTGTGCAAAACCCCGAGACAGCTCGGAAACGCACCAGTGTTCCCCAGCGATTCAAATATTTTAGCGGGGACTAAAAAAAAAAATCCACATTCGAGTCTGTTGCCCCGTTTCGGAAGCGTTTGCAAGCGCATCTAGAGCAGCTGCAGCCCGGGCGGGTTGAACGGACTCCAACACAGACCTACCGAATCTCTCCCCACCCGAAAGGAGGTTTCTGCGACGGGGCATCGTTTCCCGGTCCCTACGGGCCCGAGGGTCCCGGGCGGCCGAGTAGAGCGGGCCTGGCCTTCTCAGGTCTCCCCCGTGTCCTTACGGCGTGGACAACGAAGGGAAGTTCTGTGTCACGTTTTATTTTTTTAATCTAGAAGACTTCACGCCTCGCAGTAAAACTGCTGCGTCTGCTCCTCGATTTCTAAAGAGTTTGTGCTTCAAACTGAAGTCGGGAGCCAGAAGCTTCTTCCCGAAAGATCCCGGTCCTGTTTTGTTTTGGTTTGGTTTTTTTTTCCTTGGTTGTTTTTTGTTTGTTTGGGCTTTTTTGGGGGGTGGGTTGTGGGTTTTTTTTGTTGTTTTGTTGGGGTTTTTTTTTCAAACCCCATCAAAGGAGCCATTGTGGGGAATGCGTCCCAAGTTCCCGGGAACTGCCTTTGCCTTTCCCGCGGGCGTTCGCTGCTGTTGTGTCTGAGCAGCCGCGGAGCTTTCAGTAACTCGGCAAACACGGGCATGAAAAGGATGTCCCGGTAGGGCAATGAGGCATGAAATCCCTCTGTTCCTTTACATAGCAGCAACGTCCACATGAAAGAGCAAACACCCGACGTGCCACCAAATATAATTGCATTGAAGGTGGGGGTATGAGCGGAAAAAGAGCTGGCGCCGGTTTCTCTTTCGCCACGGCCCTTCCTCGCACGCACACCCACAAACGAAACAAACCACCTGCACCGTCAGAAGGATTTAACTGAGTGGAAAACTGAATCATTGGCACCATCGGCCGCTAA